CACCAAAGATATTTTTTACGGTTAATTTTTTTTACGACTAACGGTTAAAATTTGTCAATTTTTACGTCTAACGGCTAAATATTTTGGCCGTTTTACGGCTAACAGTTAACCCCATTGGGACCCTCTCCTAAGCACCAGTTTATGCAACATGGTTGAGAAAACCACGAGGTTCGTTCGTGTTTGGTCGTTGAAAGAATATGCTAAATTTTTGTACCAGTAAACCGTTTGGTTAGATCGTTAAACAGTCCTCGGTTTGGCAAAGAGCTAAGAAAATCATGAGCATGCATGCTTCGGCAGCAGTCAGTTCGTTTTTGACCGTTGAAAGACTAAATGCTAAATTATTGTATTGCGTCGTTTGGTTCAACCGCCCGCGCTTGAGTTGTTAAAATATCGTTACGGTTTGTTTTCTTCCTTATCTTAAACATGAGCCAGAAATTGTCGTAACTTAGTGGACGGGATGTGTGCCACACGGAGATTGTGGGGTTTCAGGATCTGCGAGATAATTTCAGACATACCCCTTGGGTATGATATAGCTGGCTACTGTAGTTGCAAGGAAGGTGATAATTTTGTACATGTAGTGGGGTTGCGCGCAGGTGAGCCTAATAAACTCTGTCAGATACCTAAGGGTGGTCATTCGGAACAATTTAAAATTCTGTGTCGAAAGTAACTCGATACCGCTTTAATCCTATTTCTCTTGACCCTTTACACCCTAACATCAGTTGCATATTCTCCATACTGTTCTCTATACATTTCCTGAGGTGCTGACAAGGAGAATTTGACGTTGAACAACCAAGAGCTTCTTTTGTTGGTGATCATTTCCTTCATTCTCCTGACCTTACTGTTTTATTCAGGGGTGATATTGTAAGGAGAATCTGGACGCTGGTCACTCCTAGGGTTAGAGGGTTAAAATCAACCTTCATTTAGTATTGAGTTGATCACGGTAGCTACTAACACAATTTCACGTCCATCATCTTCTAATAAAGAATCTTTATCGATTCCCGAGAAATATTGATTTGGGATAAAATAATATGGAATTGGGCGAGATTCCCTCAAGAACTCCATCAGTTTGCTAAAAATCTGGCCTGTTGTGACTGTTTTTCCACCTGTTTCTTTTGCGTTTTCTTCAATGCAGTTGAAAAACAAGTTCTTGATCAGGTAGGTCGACAAAATGTTGAAAGGAAGAAGGGTCTTGACATGCTCATAACTGTCTCCAGTTTGGGATGACTGTTCTTCAATTTCTCCTTTCTCATCAAGTTTATGTGGGTGTTCTGCAACTGAGTGGATCGCTACATCGTCAGCAATTTTTAACGTTAATCGATCTGATGATTCGAAATCTTGAGCATCTGTCAATTTTAAGACTGTAGCGATGTTTCCTTGTTTAGACAAAGCAACCCTGCCTACTATGGTACACGGCACAGGCATAGAAGGGAATTCGCGCTCCTCACTCGAAATCCCGCTTGTAGTTATGCTAACAGATTCATCAGTCGTAATTTTTAAGCACGAAGCATCTTCAGCATCCAAGTCGCTTTTCGTGCTCTCATGTTGGTCAAAATCTCTTTCTTTGCCGTGAGCATCACTGGCGAGGTGTGCATCACCGGCGAGGTCGTCTTCTTCTTGCTCTGAAAACTCATATCCTTCTTTGTTTTCGTCAACGGAAACGCGATCATTATCATCATATACAAGTATCTTGCAAGACACAGCTGGGTGTAGAACAATTTTGGCGCCAACAAATGCACGCTTTTGTTCTTGTGATAGGCCGGCCATTATCAGTCTCTCAGGCAAGGAAAACGAGAGCCTCCAATAGCCGCTCTTTGGAACTAAATGACAGCCGCGAGATTTGATATCGTCTGTCAATAATCTGCTCGTTTTTCGTGCTATGAGAGGCCAATGAGGCACTGGAATGGCAGGAACCAGGTCTACTGTAATAACCAAATGCTTGTAATGCAAGCCAGCCCACTTTAACTTCAGATTACATGTGACAGTTCCTGAGAGTGTCCATGTATCCTCAACTAAACTGTGTTCGGTGAGGCCCTCGATGTACATCTCCCGTGGTGCTGGCGTGTGGTCCGCAAGGCGTGTTAATGCCTGTTTGGCCTTATCCACAAATTTGGTCATAACCCTACTACTGTCCAACTGATCTCCATCAAAAAAGTCCTCATACACTCCCGATTCGTTAAATTTCTTGTGAATTACCACCTCATTGTACAAAGTGTCTTCATCAAACGTGACTGAGCACATTCGGCCAAGATCTTCGAGAAGTAACATGTAGTCAAATTCGTTGGGATCTCCTACTTTCGTTCCCTCGTAAACACTTCCAGACGGCATCAAATTGCCTTTGAACCTCATGTCAATTTTGGCTATTTCTTCTGCCCACTTAGTCATAAAATCTGCGACACTTTGCCTCATTCTGTCAACTTCTGCCAAATCTATGGGTACCAGTCCAACTCCTGCCACCATGAGCATATCGCGTAGATAGCCAGGAATATCCCCAGCAGATTTCTCCCTCATAAACTCTACCAAATCTCGAGGTACCACGGACGAGTCAAATTCTTTTGCGTATATGTTTGACGCAGCGACAACCATGGTAAATATATCGTCAGCTGGAAGGCTTTGAGCTATGATATCATCATCTGAAGCACCTGAAACTGTCACATCACGCTTTGCATTGTTCGCAACATCAACAAGAAATTCCCGGCCAAATCTCAAAGCAGTGTGGTAATAGTGCCTGGACAACGCATACTGTACTGGAAGCCAGCCAGCATTGTCTGCGAGCTTGTCGTTCGCACCTGCCTCTAATAACTGAGTAACAATTTCTGGTGTTCCTCCGTAGGCAGCGTAATGAAGAGGGGTGCTGTTTAGATAATCAAGTGCATCCACGTCCGCGGAGGCTTGGATGAGTATTTCGATGATGTCGACGCGTTTAAAGACAGCTGCAAGGTGGAGAGGGGTTGTGCCGTTTTTGTCCGCAAGGTCGATGGAGATGCGAGGATCCTCTAAAAGCAATCGGACCATAACATGGTTTCCAACTTCTGTTGCGGTAGATAGAGTTGTACGTCCATCTAAGTCTTGTGCGTTTACTTCAGCTTGGCTTTGCAATAAAAGCTGGATCATTTCTTCATTATCGGAGTGAAACAAGTGTTGTAACGATGTCATTCCGCGAAAATCTCGACCTTCGATTTGAGCCCCTGATCTCAAAAGCAGCTCAGCATTAAGCACATGTGGTTCTTTGACAGCGTGATGCAACGGAGTGCATTGTTCAAAATCTGGCATATTCACATCCACATTGAATCGGAGAAGAAGCTCAATAAACTCATGAATCAACGAGGCCTCAAAGTCGAGCCCAGCAATACCGCCGTAGACAAACAAAGAATGAAGAATGTTATAACCATGTTTGTTTTGTAAGTTTGGGGATGCCCCAGCCTCTAACAACACGGTGACCAATTCTAAAAATTTGCGATGATCTGATAAAAACTTTTTGAACATAACCTGATCTAGAACAAACGACATGTGGAGAGGGGTGTCTCCATCTTCGTTCTGCAAGTTTGGGTCGGCACCCGCGTTTATAAGCAGCGAAACTATCGATATATTATTTGTTAGGTGTAATGCTGTATTACCATGTCTGTCTCTTGCATTCACGTCCACTCCATCCTGCTGCAATAAATTTTGCACTTCGTCGATGTTTAATTTCACGACCGCAGCAGGCAACTGAGACATCCTAGGACAATCCAAGAAGGGATGATAGATATTTTTGATCCGGGCTCTTGCTGTCGGAGAGACAAACATGTAAAAATAAAAACAAAATAAAAATAAAACAAAAGCGAAGAAAAGCAAATTGAAAGCAAGGGGATATAAATTTTGGGACTGAATTAAACTGGAAATTTGATACCCAACTTCCGGCTTAGGCGGTAGTGAAGGGAAAGCACTTCTATTTTGCTTCAATAACATGGATCAGTCATTGGAGTTTCTCATCCCCAGGGATTTAGTCCTTTCTGTACAGCACCCCTAAAATAAATGTCTTCTGATGTCCAATTAATGATGTCACGGACCAAATTTTATCAGTAACAAGTTTCCTATAAACAAACCTAACATTGAAAGCTCGTCTGATAAACTATAATATCAAACGTAATAGTTAAATCATTGAATCTAGAACATCAAGAAGTATAGGAAATGGATGGGAGGATGTTTTGGTGTCTTGAAGATATTTTGAAAAGCAGAAAACAACGAGGGACTCTTGATATGAAGATCACATTTGTCACAAACACAAACTTACTGCGTGGTTAGTCCTGGTTCGGATGTTGTCGAAGAAGACCAGTTTTGATTGAGCTTTCACGTCTTCCCTTGGCACTCTATCGACACAACAACGCTGTGATTGGCGTGAATCGGTTGAAGCAGTCTCTGCCTCTGCAAGCGTTGGTTTCTCCACCTATCTTAGCCTACGATTTGCAACCAGCAAAGGAACAAAACATCGATGAACCCTAGAAGTCAAAGTGATGGTTGTGTACAACACATGAAATTACCGCTATTCTTATCACTGTCACGCGTGACATCTCATTTGCGACTACTTTTCCAGGATTAAAGAATTGCACACTATTCAAAGTTTAGAAAGATCGAAAATACTAATATTGTCAAATGACCATAAAATTGATTTTGGTTACCCATGACGCGTCTCTACCGTTGATGGGGATGAGAATTAGTTACGTGACGCGACTGAGTTAAGGTTGCCAGGGAGACTAGAGGCGATATGGTGTTGCGTTACATTGATTAGGTATAACATTTTAATTCTCTTAATTAGTATGGTGAAAAACTGTTTAGGAAAATCATGTTTCTAATAATTAGGCTCAGCTAATGCACTTCAGATGCGTTGTGATTAATTTCGGGAAAGTTCGAAAATCGAAGGAGTGAAATCTTTCACTATCGCAAAAATTCCTTAAGATAATTATCATTTTCCATATTTGGTTTGCTTACGCTTGGGTGTAACCAACAAGTAACCATCCCATATTCTAATGAACACATTGTCATTCACAATTTAATTTGCCTGAAGCCTCAATCGGTGCGTTCCTTTACACGAATTAGTAGAGCAACAACAAAATGTCCAGCAAGGCCAAGACGAAGAAATCGACCAAGAAGCGAGCTCAGAGAGCAACTTCTAATGTATTTGCAATGTTCGATCAGTCGCAAATTCAAGAATTCAAAGAAGCATTTAACATGATCGATCAAAACCGTGATGGCTTTATTGACGCGGCTGACCTGAAAGATATGTTTGCCTCTCTGGGCAAAGACGTTACAGATGATTACGTGGAAGACATGTTGAACGACGCCAGCGGTGCCATCAACTTTACCATGTTTCTGACCCTCTTTGGAGAGAAACTTAACGGAACCGACCCTGAGGACGTCATTAGGAATGCATTCGCGTGTTTTGACGAGGAGCAGTCTGGCCAGTTGCAAGAGGATAGATTGGTCGATTTGCTGCAAACTTTAGGCGATAGGTAAAGTAATCTTTGTTAATATAACTTACAATATTTTGCTCAGTTATTGCCCAGCGTGAGTTTTATAGCGCGAATTGAGTTCCCCTTTGTGTCGTGTAAAGAACTCTTCAAGTGTTTGAAACCTTTTCTTTGCGTGCACGTACTGTTATTTGTAATTAATCGCAGTTGATTTGTTTTCTCTTTTTGTAAGAATTACCCACTGCTAGCGTTGAGAATCAATTCCACTCCTTTAAAAATCCAGGCTTGGAGTTAGAATTAATATTTTTCTTGGGAATTTTCGAGATTTGTGCAACAGATGTGATCAATTGATGATTAGAATGCTTGTCACAGACATGAACAATTAGCCTTGTTCACAACACCGTGTAATCGAACTATGCTTGTCTTTATTGTACTGAAATGTTCGTTTGTCAAAACTGTCAAATGCTATCTTGAACACTTTTTAGCTATTGTAATGTTCGTCTCTGTAAAATTATGTTTTTCGAATAGATTTGGTATTTTTCTGGCTACTTTCAAAATGTTTGTTTGTCCCATCAAATCTGAATGCGTTATCACAAAATGTGATCTTCCAATCGAACACGAATGTAATTAACATATCTACAATGAAACGTACAATTTCGTTTATCTAAATCCCGTTAAGAGCTTCATGAGCATATCTCTTCAAAACTCGATTTGACTGATAAAAGTTTCATGTTCTTTTAAACATCAGTGCAATCAAAGCGAGTGTTTTTTAACACCCAAATGCCTAACATTCTTTTCGACATTCTGTAAATCGCGGTGTTTGTTTTCACAATTAGTCGCGTTATTGAATTTTTCTTTCGTTCACATAACAGGTTTTCCGATCAAGAAATCGATGATATGTTGCATGGGGCTCCAGTAGATTCCAAAGGCAACTTCAATTACGTGAAGTTCACAAGAATAATCAAGCATGGGAAGGATGATGATTGAGAAGTCACTGTGAATAACTCGCGCAACAAGGAACTTTGTTTCCAATTTTGTATATTTCACATATGGGGCCATGTGTTTTCGGCCTGCCATTGTTGGGGGTGTAGTCTCGCCAAGACTATCTTCCCATACAAATGATTAATAAAAGCTCTCCTCAGTTACTTTGATTTTCATAGTAGGCATTCCATTACAATTACTTGCTGCGCGTATTTCTACACGTTATCAGCAGGAGCTGATAATGTGGACAGGAAATGTTATTACTTCGTAAGTGACATAGACGACTTTGCTGATCCTTCAAATTTCCCTCATCTATTGTTTAAGTTTTATTTGTGTGTTGTTTTGAGGGAGGTGTCTTGGCCTTGATATGCTCGTCTAGTTATCCCAACCGTGCCAACATGATCAAAGTACCTGAGTACCAGGCCTTCCTACAAAAGGGTGGAGGGGTGGAGCGAGAGCTTGGGGTTCTTTCTCTCCCATATCACCCCCACCCCCTCAGGGAGTCTGATACTCAAGCTATCAAAGAAGGGCATGTAGTACAAGGGAAGTCAAAGGAAAATATTTTACTACTTTGTCAGTATCTATTTCCAATGAACTCATCTCATCTTTCATCAAAAACTTCCCATAACATCCCATATCAAGATAAAACAGATCACTGGCAGTTTTGGCAGCCATATAAAATATGAGCTACAAATAATCTTTTATTTTACCTGGGATTTCACCTTCAAACACCTTAAGTGACTAATTACACTAAATGTTTTCACTCTACCTAATGTTATTATTTACTCTCTTTATCTTTAAGTTTTTATATTACTAGCTATTCACTAAATGCAAGCCAGCTACATGTAGTGTTGTACATAATAATCATATCTTACATAATATTTAACTAAAATTTTTAACTTAAAATACTTCCCATGATAGTTTTGAAGAGTGCGAGGAGTTTTTACATTACGTTAACCTAATACTTTTTTCCTTGTGAACTTCTTTTTAAAAAAAATTTTAAGCAATAATCTCTGATTAGTAAATGTGTCCTTTGTTTACACATCCTGCCATCTGCAGTAAGCTTTTAGCAGATAGCAATCATTCAAACAGATAGGACATAACATTTTGTAGAGTGCAATAACAGTTTCTTTTCAAGTAACCACTAAAGTTCTGAACATCAATGGAACAAAATTTGGCAAAAACAAACTCAAAATATCCTTGTTGGGTGGGGGAGGGTGGTGGTGGTAACGACTTTCTGTATGAAAAAGGGGGGGGGGGGAAGTAATAGATGTTCATGATCAAGGTAATTATTTTTTCAAATTCATAAATTGATGACTTTCTGGGCTTGGGTAATAAAACCGTGAAGATACATGATGCTCTAGGTTTATCTTGACAAGGAAAAAAAACCCAGCTGCCAACTGAAAAGTGCTACCAAAGGTGTTGACAATATTTGACAATGGGAAGAGGAGGGTGGGAAAGAGACTCTTACACAAGCCTCTGACTGGCATCCTGGTTGTTTTGATTAACATTTGACTGAGAGGGAAGGTCCCAAACTTTCCAAGGACTCGCCCAGACCAAAGTGCTTGATTAATACCATGTTTCATGCCCTTCAAATGGCACCAGTAATAATCTTAGACCCCCAAAAATGTAACAGCTATTACTGGCAGTAAAGATTACTTTTGAAACCCTTGATTGAAAATGTTTAGATTTGGAAAATTTTTCAGAATATTTCAGTTAGCTCAAGACCCAGAAAACTAAGCCTGTTGTTCTTTATCCTTTGAAATAACATAAGAGTCCTCCTCTTTAAAATTCCACCCAACTACCCCCAACAACCTATTTTCTTGAAAAAAGAAAACATGGAAATAAACTAAGCCCTAACAAAATTTATCCCAGATGAGTAGAACATCCAAAAATCACCAGGAAACCCAAAAAGATTTCTTCAATCTTCACACAGTCCTCCTGACTGACTCAAACTAGGACACTTTCATTGGAAATTTCCTGAGAAAGAAGTGAGAGGAAATGAGGGCCATCATGGAGGACCATGTGAGAAACTTAACGTCAGCGTTTCCCTAGAGCTTTCATTTCTGCCATCCAGGCATGTATTTTTGTCTGTAACTCATCATGTGGCTTCAGCATGTCAAGAGTAAGAGGGCTCCTGTTAAAAGGATCTGTCTGATCACTGCAAAGAAATATGAAAGGTCACATCAGAAACACAATTAACATAGTCACCCAGGTCTTTAAGCCAAGAAGGAAAAATTCAAAGGCTTACCAGTAATTATCATCGCTATTTGGAATATGCATGCAACTTAGAGATATTTGATTGCGAAGTGATGATAATTATATGTGAAACAATAGCAGTAAAATGACAACATTCAAAGGTATCATCCATGCAGAAGGCAGGTTTTGAATTAATTAAATCAATAAGTCTGTTAATCAAATTCTTAACAGAGGCCTAATAACTGCTGTTTTAATAACCTGTAATTATAAAATGTCTAAAAATCAGCTCTCTTTATCTTGTTGAGCCAGCATCTGTCATACATACCTCAGAAGGTGACGGCAGATGGTGGATCTGTCTACAATTTTACTTGATGTAGTAAGAATCACTGGATCAGTCATCAGTGTGTTTGTTATTGGATCAAGAAATTCTTCTGGTGGCTAAGGAGTGAACAAAAATGCACATTTATTCTACCACAAAATTTCATTTGTAATTATCCAAAATCATTCAAGCTGCAGGCCAGCATTCTTAGTTTGGATTTTCTAGATATGGATAATATAATATTTTGCAGATGAAGCAAAACCTAAAAAAGGTGTGGGTAGTGTGGGAGGAACTGAATAGTCCTGGATCCCCACTTGATCAAAAATAAATAATCTTTTCTCATTAAATGGCCAAGGTTAGACTTTGCAACTTCCTTCCTCTTTGATTGCATCAGACCCTTTTGAAAGCAAGGGTCCTGGTAGTAAAAAGGGAAATGTCACATGTTCCATGTATCTAAACCCTTTCACTCTCAAGATCTCTGTGGTAATTCTCCTTACTATCTGCCATGTAATTCTTATGATGGTAGCTGTGAGAGTATTGTATTGGATCAACTAATAATCCCCTAATTGACATTTTTCCTTATTCTCATTACTTGTCTGTTTGATATGTTATTGATATTGCGAGGAGAAATTCTGTCTTGGTCACTCTTGGGAGTTACAGAGTTAAGGTGGGGCACATACGTACATCTATCAAATCATCCTCTTCATCTTGCTGGGCAAATTCATTAACACGATCTGCAAGTTCACTAAGTCTAAAGATTACTGAAGATGGTCTTCCAATCAATCTAGAAATTTAAAAGAAAACAATGTATAATAATCCTTTTGAGATCTTTAGTAATGGTCACATTAGGAAACAATTAAATTGATAACTATGAAATAAAAGATGACCATTGTCTTTTACTTACTTGAGCACCCTCTCTGATTGTTTGAATAAATTTGGAGAGTAGGATCTTTTGTCTGAGGCAACTGCCTTGCAGAAGGAGTCTTGTTCACCAAGGTTAAGGTATATGTCAATAATATCAGAAACCAGCTTTTGAGGCTTAAAATGGAACTCTGAGAGATTTTTTGCCTAAGTCAAACAAAAGAATAAGTAAAGGGGATAAGTGTCAAAAGGAACTGTGGTGTTAGGCTGGTGGGGGGTACTAAAAGAATGCCATTCACTCTGACAAAGGGCTTAAACACCTGAAACATCCGAAAAGGTGACCAATTTACATTATCACCTCAGATGATAAATCCAAGGTTAAAGAATATTTAAGTACATCACTTTGCTTTCAGTCCTTAGTTCAAGTCTGGTAACTGATTGACACTCATCTGGTAAAATTACAAAATGAAACATAAATGTCCCAGTTACATATATCAACTGCAAATGTAATTGAATTTCTATTAATTAAATTATATCAAACCTTCAGTTCTCCCATTTTTGGTCCAACCAATCTTAGAAGGAAGTAATTTAACATATCTGCAGTCCTCCTCACCATGCAACCTATGAGAAATGGTCTGCAAAATAACAAAAAACCCTATCATCAGGAACTCCCTTTATCATACACTGACTACACTCTTAGCAGTTTTCAACACAATACTCCAATGTGTTGATCAATTTGAAGCTTCAATATCCTCTTCCCACGCAACCCCTTGGGTATTTGGATTATGGAGATAGGCTTCTTAAAATTCCACCCCCTCCCAAAAAAAAAAAGTTGTGTTCAAATGCCCCACCCAATATTAAGTGATCCCTTGTCTAATCAACAAATGTTTTAAAATTTAACAAAGTCATATATAAGTTCTTATTGTCACGGTTTGGTTTTTCGCTTGTAAGCATCATTCTATGATGTAAAAATTTCCTTCCTTAGCCATTTGCTCACAAAGGTAGACTTTTTTCCTTTAAACTACTCCATACTTAAGGTTCAAATGCCTGTGGGCTGCCCAGGGGGGCAGGGGGGGTGGTGGGGTAGAAGCTATTGATTGATCAGTGCATAAGAAACATTGCTGCCCCTTAATTATACAATCTGATTGGTCAGATTTACGTATATACCCCTCATTAACATTACCCAGGCCGTTAGTAATAATGAGATAATTACAACTAATTACTCACTGTTTGATGTCAGCTGTTATATAACTCAGTGCACGGACAGTTTCATTGGCTAAGATGTTATGACTGCGAGCCATTCCACTGGTATGCTGCATCTCCTGCTGCTTCTACAAAGACCAGCTCACATTAATCAACATTGAAATTGGCTTTCATTTTACTGCAACATTACAATTTCATGTAACAATCCTCCACACTACCCTCTTGGTTCCATTTCTTCCAGTTTTAAAAACCCTGCCTGAAATTATTTGCTGCCAAAGGACTAATTGGCTCCCTATTGTGAGCTTCGAGTTTAAAAAAAATTCACTCTTATCCTGGCCACCTGCTGTACAAAAACTCCATATCAACTCATTTGACCCAGTTGAGTTTTGGTCTCTAATTTTTTTGTTTGACATACTACAGCTTTAAAGAGATTCCACAATAGATTTTGTAGGTTCCCCCCCCCCCCCCCACACACAGTTTACATAAAAGTTGGGAGGCATAAAAGCTAGCATTTTTTTTTAATACAATCAGTTTAAAATAAGCCTGCTCCGCCCAAGATGAGGGAGGGGAGCAGACTTATTTTAAACCAATTGTATTTAAAAAAAAATGCTAGCTTTTATGCCTCCCAGCTTTTATGTAAACTGTGTGAAGTATACATTTTTTTTTTCTTTTCCAAGCAACTTAGGCCTAATTTCCAAATGGCCCTTTTACTCCCGAGATTCTATTAGCAATTCTCCTTACTGTCTGCCAAACCATTCTTATGATCTAAAGGGTTAATAATTAAAACTAGTCAGGGTAAAACACCAAGAGGAATGCCAAGAAATATGAAAACACCTGATAGATCCTACAAACCTGTTGTTGTGCTTGCTCTGTTAAACTCTCCCAGTCTCCACTGTCTTTCTCAGCTTGGAGCTTCTTCAGAGCTGCCATAAACTACAAATAAAAATACTTAACTTAACTCATGATTGTTGCTTACATACATAAAGAAAAAATAACACCATTTCTATGCAAATCAATCTCTCCTCTCCTTGAGTCTCCTTTTATCTTTGGTTCTAGAGCAGAACACTTTTTCCCTCTTTTCATCATGGAGTGACCTTTATCTCCAAAATTTTTTAAACAGCGTCAGAAAAATAGTCAAAGTACCTCTGTAACTCTAAATACAAAAGGTCAAATATGTTTTAACTGACAAATTCCAAAATTAGACATCTTTTGTGTACAGCCTGACTAAGAAATACCTGAAGAGCTTCATCCAGCAGAAATGTAGAATCGTTGATCAACAAATTAAGGAAACGAAGAAATAGTGGAATAGCTGTTTTCTTCTTCTTTTCATCAGCAGCCTTAAAGACAAACCAGATTCATCATTGCACAACTACACTTTCTTAATTAATAGAGGTTAGTTGGTTTTGTTGTGGATCTATGGAGCCTCATCTGAACAGGAGAGAGGTTAGAAAACTTAAATGCAGTTGGTACATGCAATTTAACAGAGTTAACAACAGTGCACTCTAGTAGTCAACTGTTTTTTGCATATGCACATGCATCCGAATTCCATGTGCTCCTCATCTGAGGCATTCTTATTGTGCTTTAAGCATGAAGTTGCAGCATTGTGAGGACCCCTTCCCTCCCTCTTTCCACTCTTTCCCTCTTTACTAACTTAACATTAAGACCCAGAGAGACTGAACGAGATAGTGAGGTTTCAACATGGTGGTCTTATGGCACCATTCGAGGATGCCAGCCACCATGCATGCACAAAAAAAAAAACTCAAATGTCCTGAATGGGTAACCAGGCCATAGCTGGGCTTTGACCAGCCCCAACACATCGAGTCATTGGAATTGCTATTATAATGACTATTGCTATTAATAATCATTATTATTTTCAATAAATCAAACATTACTATCATTATTATTATTATCATCATTAATATTACAAACTTTACTGCTATTCCTATATCTGTGTAATCATTGCATCATACCTCTTCACCCATCTTCATCAGGGAAGCTTTGTAATCATCTTCCTGCCACATGAATTTCAAAACCGAATACATGTGATGCCGGTAACCTGGTTAAGAATATGCAATGCATGAGTTCTTTTACCTCTCAGTTGAAAATTTTCAACCAAATAAGCCAGAATATTGGTCATGTGGTGTTCTTAGGTTAATAGGGAGTTTAAGAAAACCATGACAGCAATGGCAACAAGAATGTAACTAAACAAAAGGTTTAAAGAGCAGAACAATGGCAGTGCATGTGCATTATAAATCTTTGTAAATTTCTTTGTGTCCTCTGAAAAATGATGACATAAAATGACCAAACTTTGCATTGTCTCAAGAATGTGAATGATGACAACTAATATTTTAAATTTCTATGTCTACTTTAACACTGTGTTCCAAATTCAGTTTCAAGATGGTTTTGACAGTGAGAAACAAATTTAATGACTTTAATTAGTAGTATTGCAAGATTTGTAGGTAAAATATAAGTTCGCTGTCATTGTTTCTCAAGCTCCCTAATTAGTGTTGTTTTACATGTTAAGGAAACACAGGGACCACATTTTACTATTCAAAATTCAGGGCTATTTATTCTACATTTAGCATTTGCAGTTTTGTAAATTCCACCTGCCTATTGTTCAGTCCCTCTGAGAATCTTAATCAATCAAGTTGGGACACACTAAGTAACAAGTCTGCCACATGTCAATGTGACAATGCTCTCCAAACGAGTTCATCACTGAACAAGTGGCTTTAAATTGTTCCCTCCCTGCAGCAAAACTATGGATTTGTACATCTTGCTTCAGGATAAAAATGCTGATTCAGGGATAAAGGTTGCCTAAAAAATCATTAATGTCCAATGTGACTTGTATCTGTGTTTTGTCACCAAGACACAGAATTAATGTAGGTTGGTTACTGCATTTTGAACTTTCAAGCAGGACCTCTGTCAATAACCCTTTAGCCCCTAAGAGTGACTAGCATCTAATTTCTCCTTACAATATCACCCCTGAATCAAACACAAAAGTCATGAGAATAGAGGAGATGATCACCAACTAAATCAGCTCTTGATTGTGAAACAAATTCTCCTTGTCAGCCTCTTTGGAAATGTATAGAGAACAGTATGGAGAATATGCATAATGATGTTAGGGTCTAAAGGGTTAAGAAGCTCACCAAATTTCTGCTCAAACTGCATGGAATGTCCTGTGAATTCTATGTCCACAAACAGTTGTAAAAGAGCCTGAGGGAGGTAGGCAGGGGCAACTTTGTGTTGAAGGAAAGCACTTTGTCTGTTGAACTATAAAATAAAAACATATTGACCAATTACAACTATGATCAAATAATAAATGCCGATAATAGAATGTTGAGCTACACAATGCCATGCATGCAGTTTTCACACTTTTATTTCCCTCCTTACAAGGAGGGAAATAAACATGCATTTGTTTATTAGCTTTGTTAGCCTCAAAAGTTGACAAACTTCAATCACTATATTGGCCCTACATGTAAATACATATGTACACAGATGAACCTTATAAGTCTCAAATTTACAGAGTAGCACCCAAATTCTAATATCTTTGAGCTAACTACATTTATTTAATATATATCTATAACAAGCAAAATAACTAACTACCTGAAAAAGTAAGCAACTTAAACAATTGCCAACTTGCTAAATGGCATTGCTTGAGTGACAAAAAGGGGATTCCCCTCTCATGACAAAATTTGATTTTTACCTTCCTTCAAAGAAGTATAAATCAGGAATCTTAGGTTTGATTCCAACTAAATCAGTGATCAGGACCATAGCAAGCAAAGGAGACAACAAATTTATTTCACTAATTAAAATAGATTTGACAGCAAGCCACTCTTGAGACAGTGGTCTCATTAGAATTTCTACAACTTGATTTTAACCAAACATACCAAATTGACTTGTGGGACAGACAAAAGTTCACTTGAATTCTTGGATTTCTGAATGGGAACCAATGCCTCCAGAGTCTCTGCCAGTTTTGCTCTGAGATGCGGATTGCGCACACGTTCAGGGCTCCTTGGGATGAAAAAATACATCAAAAGTTTATTCAATCTGTACAGCAGCTGTTCTCACATCACCAAAGAAAACTTTGACAAATCAGATAATATTTTCTTAATTGATAGCTGATTAATGAGGAACTCTTTGACTACTAATTTTACCAAAACAGCTTGAGACTGTGAAAAAATGGACACTGGAAAATTTCTTGGTAACAAAAAAAAAATGCTTACTAGATGAACAAAATCATCAAAAAGGCAAAAGTTAGTTAATACTCATTGATATAAAATTAGTTATTAATAACTTAACCCTTTCAAGGCACCAAAAAAATTTACCCTTCAGTTGCAATATTATTATCTGGTTCCAGAGAACTTGGGCTACATCAGTATTATAAATTTATTTATCAATATGAGTTCATAAGGTCATCTTAATGAGGGTAGTCAAAGGATAGAGTTTTAAGTTTTCATAAATATCTATACATACCCCATGTAAATGACAAAAAATGTTACAAGATGATGTAGAGACTTTCCTGCACTCTCCAAAGTTTCTTCACTGAAATGTCTTCAACGTGAAGTAAAGGCATATATTAATATAGCAAAAATAACTGTAGTACACTGTGGTTAAGTTAAAACTGTTTATTCATGTCTGCTACACACTTACTCTTAACTGAAAAGAACTCTCAGAATAAATAAATACATGCTTTATATATACATGCAAATCCATAAGTCCCAAGTGTATTACATCACTTGCATTCATTTCCACACATGGGCATCACTATACACTACATTCCCTCCTTCCCTAAAATATTCAACATAAAAATCAAAGTCTTTGAATTAAGCTAGTCACTCCTTCACAACATTTGTGAAGGAAACCAGGACTACACAGAGTAAGCTTAATACCTCAGAAAAATTATAAAGTCAGCCATGTTTTCCACGATGAACTCAGGGACAAACAAGAGTCCCGTAGGAGTCTACAATTAAAATGAAAATTGTATTACATAATGTAAGAAAATAATTTCTTCAACTGTAAGAACAAATTTAATTAAACATTACTTAATTTAAAGTAATGCAGCACTCAGGAATCAAAAAAGGTAATGGAACAGTCATCAATGTTGTAAAGTTACTAACAGTACTTATCACAGCAAAAAGGACCGATAAGTTTCCATGAACTAAACTTTTGCCCAATAAAGAACTCTTTACAAGACTCTAACTAAGAACTTCCCCACAAGATGTTGAAACATTCTCACTGATTGTCCCTGACAAGTCTCACATAAGACTACTCTCTCCTCTGCTCCAAGATCAACGCACAAATGATCACAGATAAGACTAATCTCTCCTCTCCTCCAAGATCGATGCTCAAATGATCACAGCTATGCTAAGACAAGTACATCTCCTTAAAGGATGCATACAACATCTTATCACCAACCTGTGTTGGAAGAGGAATTTCCACTTCTTTAAAAGAAGTCATCTCATCAAAGCTGTCCCCAGCCAGTGCTACTTGATTCAGCCATGATGCAGTTGCTATGTAAAACTTCAGGCCAAGTTCAATGAGGGACGGGTTAAGGAGATGAGTCTGTTGTAAAATAAATGACAAGTTCAAAATAGAATGTAAAAAGAAATCTTTTGGGAGAGTTAAGCTGGTTGATCTTATGGTTTGCACACTGGACTTCAAGTGACACAGTGCACTAGCTAGGCCATTGTGTTAATTGTGTTCTTGGGCAAGACACTCCTGACCACTCTCACAGTCTCTCTCTACACAGGAGTATAAATGGGTGGTGGCAAATTATCAGGGAAATCTGACATATTGTTAAGGGGGGGGGAGAGAACCCATAATAGACTACCATCCCATCCAAGGCAGGTTGTTAAGGATATCGAACAAAGAACAGCCTTTTTTGTTGATTAGATCAATTGTCAATTACTTTAATTTGCATGCCAAGTTACGATCTTAGTTACAATGTTTATCTTTTTCCCTATTGGTTTGAAATCGGATCTTTTAGCGTCACCACGCGCATATAAAAGCTAAATTAGCGTCCCTATAAGCCAGAGTTTCGTAAGATTTCACCTTGAACAGCAATAACTTCGTCTTTCGTTCCAAACCTTTGGCACAAGCGGGACCGATATGTAAGTGATTTTGTTAGTTTTAATTCTATATGTTTAAGTTTAGTTTTTCACCTTGGGCGATAGCGCACATATGTACTGTGTTGTACAACAGTACAACTAATTATCTTGAAATCAAGGAGTATTTTGAAATAACTAGACTCTCACAAAGTAACGCCCACATTTTAGTCTTTGGGCTGTTAATCAGCCGCAAATGGTCATTGTGTAGCCGATCTTTGAATTTCGATTAGTTTTAATTTAGCCTTTTATGATTTGTTTATGTTAATTCACGTTGATTGTTGTTATTTTAATCGCGTTATCGACATAGGCACGTAAAGCGTTTATTCATGCTTCCGTTATATTATTGCAATTTCAGTTTACGATCGTGATCGTGACCGTGATCTAAATAAACACCGTTGATAGTCATCTTGGTTTTCGTGGTTTCATTACGACCAGTAAAATAGTCCCCACATCAGCGACACTTAGAAAACACACATAGCGACACCCCTCGAAGTTTCCTCTTTTGTCGCAAGCGTCACACAGGTATTAAGTAACTCTCCTGGCTGTATCATGCTACAAGGCTAGGATCAGTTCCATCCGTATAGGTTCCTGAGCTGTTATGATCACCATAGACACTTGGAATTTTAATTGTTACAATTTATTAAACCTCTCACCTTCAGAGACAACTGTTTGATAATGCTGTTCTCAAACTGGACTTTCAGTCTTTCTAACAAAACTCCTTCAGTTCCCTGTGCTGAGGCATCTTGGTACATCTGTTGCATCTGAGAAGAGGCATAAAAAAAGTTCCTTGTCAAACTACAGGACGGATTATTAAAACACTCACTCAGTAATTTGTGATTGTAACAAACAGGTTTTCAGAGGTAAATGAAGTAGCAAGAGAAAAGTAAAAGATAATGTCTGAAGAAGAAGTTATCATCTTGATCTTACACCAAATTCTCATAACTAATTTAAAAGGATATGTGTAGCAGCTAGAGGGGGGAATCAACAATCAGATCTTGGGAGTTGAAGGGTTAATCTTACTATTGATTAATTAACAAAATTAGGCCAGATAATTTTGTTAACAGAGTAGAGAATTCTCCCCAAAATGCCTGATGTATACCCTAACCAAACCCCAGTTGTGAAATGGCATAGTTACTTACTTGTGCTAACTCGTTCATGAGTTTTCTGTATTTCTCGCAGACTTTCCACAGACCTGTTAAAAAAAGAGAAAGATCAGAAATTCATTTGTCTGACTATTCACTAATGGCATAATGAAGTACAAAGGTTTGGCAACATTTTCATTTAAACAAAACACACATTTGGTTTTCACCATGCCTAAATCATGTTTAGCCTCAATTAAGTATTATTGTAAATCTAGTAAAGTAAATATGCTTAGTAAATCTTGCTGACTGCCTAAGTATCCTTCTCTCCTGGTCCTAAAAATCCACATCTCTTCTGCCCCCTCCCCCTAGAATAAACCAAAATCCCCCCCCCCCACCTTGCAAACTGACTTATGCAAGAGTGAGATCAATTCAGACACCTGGCTCCAATTGTTTAAAGGGCAGATAGCACTATCCACTGGATAAATCACCATCCAGTGGATAAGTGTTACCAAGATGTATTTTGCTATTCAATGGATCAATAGGATTATCCACCATACCGACAACCGGAGCCTGGTCTATAAATAATCTCAATGCTTAAGAGCCATTTTGTCTGGCCTCCTCCTTGCCTCATGCTTAGTGTCACTAACCCAAGTTGAGACAATGATGAGTCATGAAAAAGCACTCTGTCACAAATCCATATGCTGGTGTGTTCTTCAGCGTAATGTTCTCTAATAGAAAAATGAGAAAATTGAAATGTTTGTATTTTTGCATGCAATACAATTCACAGTTATCATAAGCTACAGAAGGGCTAAATTTAAAGAATGCAGTATGACTTAAATGGTTAAGCTGAATGGTCTGTAGTACAAGTTGTGTACACACTTTAAGTGGTACATATTGTTGTTAACTTGTCTCAGTTTCAGTCACATGTCTGAGCTACAAACATTACTTCTCCCCTTAGAGGGGATGTTAGCCCATTGCAAGTCCCCCTACCCCCACCCCCCTCCTCTGCCAGATTTTATAAGGTCTCCAAGACTCCATGACATTGAGCTAGGGCTTGGACTTAGATCTTTTAAAGTGCAATATATGCAGTCCAATAGCTATTAGAAAACTGCATCCCCATGGTCAGAGGTACATCATTTAAAGAATTTTCTGTTTGTTTTGGTAGCAGTGCTCCTGGTATATTTGCAGATTTACTCTGACCTCTTTGCTTGCAGAAAGTATTCATTAATAGTTGTAGCAATATCACTGATTAAATTAAAATTGATAAAACCACAAAGTTCTCAGCACTACAGTGGTGTTTCTCAAACAATCCTGGTTTACTTTTACATGCAGCTTCCATCTCTGTTCATCAAAACACCAGTAAGACAGAACAAAATATGTAGCATTTGGCATTCTGAAAATTACCTACACCTTGCTGACCACAGAGCTGGCCATTCGTACCTTCATTAGGTGGTACAACCAGTCGTGTTTCCCCATCAAGTCCAATGACATGTAATGCAGTGCCCTCTCGTGCAATGCTGTCAAAACTAACATTCACAGCACAGTACTGTGGGTTGATTTTCAAAAGCTTGGGTGAGCATGGGTCCATGAATGGCTGGCACATTTTCAGGAGCAGAGTACTAAGATTTAAAAAGAATCCATCTTGTGCTTGGGTTGCTGTAAAAAACTCTGCCATCATCTGCAGAGAAAAAAATACAAACATAGACTGATCAAGTCTTGTAAGAATCAGAGGCCTTTAAACTGTTCAGCTTACAGGACTCAGGTCACTCAGTTTACCATCTCAGTACATCTCTCCACCCAGGAATGTAAATGGGTTACAGCAACTTTCCCAAAAGCATGACAAGTTTCTATTTTTTTTTCACTCCCCTGACTTGATATTACATCTTTGTATCTTTTCCCTTTTTGAAAACCATAGCATCGCATGATTTTCTGATTTTTTAATATCATGTTAACCCTTCAACCCTCAAAGAGTGATCACTAACATTTTCTCCCTATCAGTATCACCCCTAAAACAAACATTGAGGTCATGAGAATAATGGAAATGATCACCAACTAAAGACACTCTTGATTGTTAAACAAATTCTCCTTGTCAGTGCCATAGGAAATGTATAGAGAACAGTATGGAGAATATGAAAACTGATGTTAGGATGTAAAAAAATGCAATCTATGAAATACATCTTTCACCTTCTTCCTTGTTATGTTTCCATGGAGACATGCTCCAATCCAGTAAAGAACTTGGTGTTTTGCAGAACTTGATTTTTTCATGATCTCAATGACAACCTTCAAGTTTATCACAAATAAATAAAGATCAATTAGCACTTGCAGTACTCAGTGCTCAGTAATGGTACAACAATTCAGTAATTCAGAATGACCTTTCAAATATAACTTTTTGAATATCAGAAAAATGGTTCATCTTTTATCTTAAATTTCCAAATAAATCTACCATCATAATTAACTGTCAGTAACTTTTGTAGCTGCTTCTGATAGTGTAATAGGCAGTTGGTGTGTAATAGGCAAAATTCAAATCTGCTTGCAGGCTGAAAAGAAGGTAGTGAGAAGTCTTATGGTCCACAGTAGACTGCTGATAACCAGTTTCTAATAAAACCCTGGCTGGTATTCAACATTTTCTGTGTTTGACAGACTGAATATAATTTTGCCTCTGGATTTAAATGGCAACAAACCTTATGGAGTTTCTCCGACAATGTATCCAAGTGTTTGCGTAAGTTGGCCATAGTGGCTTGCATGTCAGCATGACTCTGCTCGGTTGGATGCTGGAAAAATTCCTGTCAACAGAAAATATCATCAGTGAAATGACACTCAGGCAAACAAACTGACGATGAATGGAGGTACTGTCCAAGACAATTTGGCTACACCCAAGTCAGTGCTTGAACTTTAGATCTGAACTGGATCTGGACTTCTTAATATTTCAAAACTACTGTACTTCCAAAAGCAAAATATCATGAAATCATTTTGGAGTTATCATCTACTTACAGATGGTTTGGTTGGATCCCTGGACATGCTGGTCAATGCTAATAAGAATCCTAACAAGGTTTGCTTCTCAAAGGCATGGCCTTGAATTGCACCTATAGGTGATTTCGCAGGAAGCCAGAATCTTGATGACACAAGGATCTAAAGAGATAATTGAAAATCATATAGAAAAAAGACTGCATTGTAATATACTACATACTTAATGACTGAGTGGGAGGTCCGGATGGCAAAATATTCAGCTCAAGGTCAAGATGTACAGACTGAGTGCATTGAGGTCTGTGCATCATGAATCAGTATCATTAGTATCATAATGGTAAAAATAGCTGCATAATCACCTCAGCCAGTGTGACATGCTTTGCAAAGAACAGCAGTATATCAAAATAGTTATGGATGTCAGGCTGAAGAAGTGACGAGATATCTTTGCTTCTATCGGCCAACATCTCAAGAACTGGAGAGAACATAGTCATCTACATGTAGAAGCAAATGGAAATTATGAAATGAGACAAAATAAGAGATCACAAATTGATAACAATATCAACAAAGGTTGTTTCCAACTAACTTCTTGTACTCATCTAGGTTCCATCACTAAGAGCTAACACACAGACTGTCTATTAAAATAAATGTTCTTAGAAATTGGTAAACAAGGAAACTGTCTAAGAGATTGCCAAAGTTAAGGATTCTGAATCAGAGATTTGCAGTCTTGATAAGGAAATTCACAACTTAAATAATATTTGACTTACCAGATCATCTTTTTGTTGATGCTCCTCAACAAGACCATCCATGAACTCTAAAAGCACTTGATCTCCTATGAAACAAATAGGTTGATATCTATATTTTTGTTCTTGTTACTCAAACTGATAAATAATTACAATATCAAAATAAATGGTATCTACAAATAATCATACAATTTAATCTGCAAATTCATTTTAACAAAATTATTTTCTAATTGTGACAATAAAATCACATGCAAAAAGTTTGTACCTTGCATGGTCAATAGTAGTTGAAACAAGTGCTTCTGAGGGGCAGCTTTAGAAAACATTTCTGGGCTCAATAAACAAGTCCTTGGAAAGATAACAAAAAACAAAAATTTAAACTACCTTTTTAGCAAGTGTGTATTTACATAACATTAACCGTCTAGCACCTAAAAATTAGCAACATGTTACTTCTCCTGACAATTCCGATACATTATTCTGCAAATGGGTAATGAGAAGAGACAAGCTCATCAATTAGAGGGTCATTGTCTTGATATGGCACCAATTTCTCCTGTTTTGTTTAGGAGGAAATGAATGGCAGCCAGTAGGGAGAATTACTAGTAGAATCTTGGGAGTTAAAGATTTAAAACTTTATTTGGTTTAGCCACACACTTACTTCAGACAAAAGCCATACTTGTAGAACAAGATATCCACTACTTGACAAGTTAGAATAGCCTTAATCAATATAATAAATTTAATTTTGCAAATGAAGTGCCTACCCTGCATAAGACAACGCCAGTGTTCTTGCTCTGTCTGTAATTTCCACAAGAGACGCATCCTTTTCCTTCAAATGGAATATTCAAAAAGAATTTCACCTTACAAAATGCTACAGCTAGGATCAGGATTTATTTGGAGAAAAATTTCTTTATTTTTCCTTTTCTTTCTTTTCAATGTAAAGCTTAGAGTCTTTCTTTTTCAGCTTAGCAGGTGACAAGAGTTCAAATAAAGGGAATTAATTATTTTTAAATAAATGGTAAAAGAGAGAGAAAAAAAAAAGAATTATTTTAAATGGGGATTTAAACTTGTACATCACATAGTTGTACCTTTTCTAAAGTACAGAAGACAAAAAGAACAGATACTTTTTATATTTTCATACATTGATTAGAAATCAGGTGGGAAGCTTCGACGTTATATGAAAATATACCTTCCATTTCTTGCACTCCTCAGTGGCTCTTTTGTAACAGGAGGCCAAGTATTTTACATTTGAAACTTCTCCTGCTTCAATCTCAGCTGTAAGTGACGACATACGGGCACCGCCTGTGATCACCACATGGGAACGAGGCTGATTCATACTTAGCCGCTCCATAATGGCCTGATAATAGATAAATTACTAATTTTAAATCGATATTGTTGATGGGAAACAATATGATTTAAATTGACAAGTAAAATCGCCAGGTAATTTTCTATCAAATCTAATTATGACAAAACCATAAAGCTTTTTCCAAGAGTAATCCAAGGCATGTAACAATTTATTTCAAATGACCCCCACTTACATCTTATTTCTATACTTGATTTGTTTCAATGGAATTCATACAAAAAACACTGAGAAGCTAAAATTTGCCAAAACAAAGATGTTGACTAAGAATTCAGCTTTTCCAAGAAGTAAGAGCTTTTTATTTTCCATAGTATTCTCTATACGTTTCCTGAAATGCTGACAGGGAGAATTTATCAAAAAAGCAAGAGCTTCACACCTTCTTTAGTAGGTGATCATTTCCTTTATTCTCATGACCTTAGTGGTTAATTTAGGGATGACATTGTGGGGAGAAATTACATGCTAATCACTCTTTGGGGTCGAAGTCTCATTAAAAATGCAGTCAGTCACTGTTCAGATGTCAACTCCCTTTTAAGCTTTGCAGCATTTTGAAAAAAAAAAACCATTTGTATCCAATGTAGATAAAACATAACTATGGAAAAAGAAATGAGAACTTTTTAGTTAACCTCATCAATGTTGGTCCACTGAAGAATTGATCCCTCCTCAGTACTAGCAGTATTGCGCAAATAGACACATCTTTTTGGGAGACCACCAAATTGTTTCTTTCCAAGACGATCTCCATCTAAATATCAGTCAGGAATTTAAAAAGATTATGATGCTAAGATATAAAAAGTTTTTAGTGAGACTTAAAATATAATACAAGAGAAGTAACCACTTCCTTGTCAACTTAATTGATCATTATATAGCTTGGTCAGCCATGCTCAGGCAATCCTATAGAAATGGGAACCTGTTTCAGTTCTAACTTGAAGAAACAAACTAAGGTAATTTTTTTTTTATCCTAGAATCTCTTTTGCAGCTATCCACCAATCACTCCTCCAATTGAACTGTGTCCTTTCCAGTTCAAATATAATTTCAAACCTTTTAAAATTATTTTTCATATCATAAAATAATTAATATGAGTTTGATTGTGCCAGATGAAAAAAATATTTGCCACAGGTCATGAAACATGGATGTTGCTGTGTTAAATCTGCATGTCATAACTTCAAACATATATTTTTCAGATCAATATCAGTATCTGGGCAACTGCCCACCAACCCCTCCCCTAACTCAATAACAAGTTAGGGTTAATTTTGGGTTAGGGGAGGGGTAGGTGGGTGTTTGCCCAGATACTGATATTGATCCTATTTTTCTTTCCAGCCCTCCCACTTGGTTAACCCTTTAAACTCCCAAGACCTAATTGTTGATTCTCTCCTCTAGCTGCTACCCATTTCCTTGTAAATTGGTTACAAGAATTTGGTATTCAATCAAGGCAATATCTTGTACCTGATAAGTTTGAGTAATCTCACTACCTGTTTGTGGGATAATGTATGGATATTATGAGAAGTTACATGTTAATCATTTTTGGGGGTTAAAGGGTTAATAGTTATTCAGTATTAATTTATCATTATTTACGATATTTTACCATTATTTACGGTGATCAGGAACACACGCTGAAACATGTCATTCACTATCCATGCTTTTTCTTCCTCGTTTATCTGGGCATCATTTTTTGTATTGGGTTTTGAATCATTGTCAATGATTCCTTTTGCTGAAACATTTGGTGCTGATGTCTTTGAAGAGTGTTTTCTGAACTCTTCTGCCTCTTCAACTGATCGAAAGAGGGCTGCAAAGGGGTTCTGGTCCATATCTGATTCAAAAGGCAGCAACTAATCCCTAAAAATGGAAACATAAATATAAGTTGAAATCTGCTCAATCCTTTCACAACCAAGATCTCTTTAGTAATTTTGCTTACTGTTTGCCATACAATTCTCATAATGTTCATTCTAAGAACTTGGTGTTGGATCAATTAGTAATCCCTTGATGGATATTTTTCTATATTCTCATCACTTGTCTGCTTGATACTGTTTTGATATTGTAAGTAGTAGTAGTCTTTATTTCCCCACAAGATAAAAAATACATATCTCATGTCACAATATTTGAGTAAAAAGTACAAAGTACATATATCCAAGTTATTTACAATTAAAATACGCTCACATAGCTAAATTGTATTTAAAAATTAAGCGATTAATGTAAGAGTTCTTGAATCTATCTGTATTAACTTATTATGTAAGGAGAAATTCTGCCTTGGTCATTCACAGGATTTACAGGGTAAAAGGTTTAAATGACATTACCAACTTGGCAAAGCAAGGTAGTATCATCTGTTTTGGAATCAAGAGCTGTGTTAGTTTAAGTCTAAAGATCTTGATAAGTGTCACCACTCTAAGGGAAGGGTTAACATGCATGTTGCAGACTCCTATGCTAGTCTGGGTTTATATTTTAATTCCTACCGCAAAGCATAACTAGAATCAGTGATTTTTTCCCCTCAGTGGAATGTAAGCCTCTTTCTAGAATGTCTTTAACAGAGCTGTTGTTTCTTAGTGACAAATTTAAAATCCATTACTATCACTGACAGTAACCAGACATGTTTGATAAAACACAAAAGTTGTTGTCACAAATGGAAAATTACATAATAATGAATAAGACCAGGATGCTCACCCCAAAGCTGACAGGAAGCCTATAAAAGTTTAAAAGGTGACAGTATGTAGCAAAATTTTGATAGGATTACGAGGAAATTTTATGTCTCTAGTTATTTAACTGCAAAACATGATATTCGTTCACCTAACTTCTCTTACCAATATAAATACAATTACCAGAAGTCATGTGATGAGAATGACGCACTCGTTTAAAATTTGTTCACCTGATATAAATCCAAATTCTTCTTATTTACAAATAAGGAAACACATGGCACATAGCTAGAGGGAAAATTCTCTAATCACCTTTTAGGAGTGCGTCGAACTCGAATCGTAGGATTAATGATGGTAAACGTTCATTACTTCATCTCAAATATAAAACAAAACAAAGCACACAAATTTTCTGATTATTTCAACGCCGTTCTTTATGTCTTAATAATAGGTCAGCACCGCTTCTATACAAGTGGGCCAATACGTTTCCACGAGAATACTTATTAAAATAAAACATCACGTAAACAAGTTGTGTTTAATTTAAAGAAAACTATGATTAAATGTAAACAACTTTTCATTTCATTACCTTTAGATCCTTGAGGAGCTTTCCATCTACCACATTTTGCGGAGAAATCGCGTAGAAACTCAACGACCAAGAATAACCTGAAATAAATTAAGGACGGATGCGCACCTACGCTTTAGAGTCACTTCACTGCATCGTCATGTTAATGTTAAGATGACTCAGAGTTTCTTGGAAGTCTGAGTACTAATTAGATACCGCTGATCAAGATTGAAGACTTGGTCCTTGGTCTGTACTTCATAACTCAGCTTACATGACGTAGTTACGACACTCGCCCACTTTTCAAGATGGAGAAGTTACCGAGATAGGTGATGCGGAGAATTTCAGGTGCAAATGTTTGGCCAAGCTTCGCTCCTTCTTATAAAAGGAAATGATTACTCTCGCAAAGAAAATTAAGGAAGAGCGGGATAAGAAGGAAAAGGGCGATCACGTTACAGGAAACACGAAAAGCGGGAGAACATCTATACGTGACAAATTGCTAACCAAAGGTAGAATCTAGGAACTGTTACGCAGTTTGTTCATGTACGCCTTTTGCGCCATAAAATGATTAAATTAACGTCCCCCCAACATCAATTGTTGAAAAATGGACCTGATTTTTAACTTTTTTCAGCTTTTACCTCGGTATATGAACAATTTTCCCTTTAGTTTTTTCTTACGCTTTCCTTTTTCCGTTTTAAGAAGTGACAGAACTCGAGGAAAATGTACCGGGTGAGTTAATAGCTACAAATATATTATATTTATTATTGCTGCGTTTGTTTTAAACATGAAAATGTGGTTATTGCCTGCATATTAGAAGACCCACCGCTACAAAGTTGTAGTTTGATTCATTTTGTGTTTAAATATTTTGACGTTAGCACTCGCATGTATACTTACTGACTATAATTTTCTTTGCTCTGGTTAACATTAAGAACGAGTGCTGGATTATGTTTTATGGTATAACTTGGCTGTTATGTAACCTACACTCGGGGTTTTTAATAAGAAATATAGAAGCAGCTGAATAGTGTAAAGCAACATCAGAATTTATTACATAACGGTTCTGCATTTGAATTGTAAATTTCTCAGGCCATCGAAAATCAGCTGGAGAACTCTTCAACCTCCCTCGTTAAATTGGCACCCTAATTGCCTACTGGTTGTTATGAGTGCATCAAAGCACTGTAATCCTACTTACCCCGTTTTAAAAAAAGTGTTGCTGTCATTATGATTTTTAAGTCAGACATACAAATTTATAGAGGGGTAAGTTTCTAAAGAAACTGTGGTGCTGCGTCGGTGGGAGAGTATAGCAGGTAATTTAGTGTTAACAACTGGGTTGAAAACGTAAATTAGCCATCGTAAAGGGTAAAAAAGCTGACGTTTTGAGCGTTAGCCCTTCGTCAGAGCGATAGGCTCTGATGAAGGGCTAACGCTCGAAACGTCAGCTTTTTTACCCTTTACGATGGCTAATTTATGTTTTCAACCCAGTTGTTAACACTAAATTACCTGCTATACAAATTTATAGGACTGGAGAACATTTGTGAATAGAGAAGATCATGCTAAACTGTGGATAGAAAATTCTTCTTTATCCTTAAAATAATGATTTGTGATTTAATCAGTGAAAATACTGCTTTATGTTTATACTTTACAGAGCCAGGTTTAGATGTTGATTTGTGAAAAACTTTTTAGTGCATTTCAGTCAGCACTGCACATGATTTGATGTTTTTCAAGAATAAACATTGCAAGAATTTTTCAAATAAACCTTTTTCTTGTATTTTCCTTACAGAATCCTGTCAAGTTGACTTTAAGGATCCAAACATTCTTCATGAGTTCACTCTGACTGTAACACCAGGTTAGAAAATGAAAGTTTTCTTAAGTGCTGTGAAGGCTCTCTCCAAATTTTCAACACCAATGATATCATACTGTTTTGCAAATGAAGGCCACATAACCTGGTCCACATGAGGCACTAACCTTTTGACCCCAAAGAGTGACTAGCATCTAATTTCTCCTTACAATTTCACCCTTGAACCACACATTAAGGTTGCAAGAATAAAGAAAATAATCACCAACTAAAGAGGCTCTTGATTGTTAAATTCTCCAGGTCAGCACCTTATGAAATGTATAGAGAACAGTATAGAGAATATGCATACAGATGTAAAGGTGTAAAGGGTGAAACACAAGCAAAGTGGCCCAAACTACAAGATTTATCCTAGTTTCCATAGCATTTCTGGGCCCCTGATGGATGGGATGTTAGCTATTTTAGGTTACTCCCATGTCCCTGCCTCAGCTCCCTCTGCCTTTTATCAGAGTTTCCTCACCCAAAATGTTGTTCAGAGTTATCCTTGTTGATTTAACACAATTTTCTTTTATTTTCTTTACTTTCAGGAGAGGGTTATTGGAAGGATGGAATTTTTATATTTCATATTATGATACCAGAAGAGTATAATATAAAGGTGGGTTCATATTAACCCTTTAACTCCCAGATCAAATTTGTCATTCTCCTTACTGTCAACTACACAATTCTTATGTTAGTTCAGAGAATTTAGTATTGGATCAGCTAATTATCCCCAAATTGATATTTTTCTTTATTCTCATCACTTATCTGGTTGTTGTTTAATTGATATCGTCAGGAGAAATTCTGTCTTGGTCACTCATGGGAGTTAAAGGGTTAAATCTATTTGTAATAATCCAATAATTTTAACTCCTCACTCTCAAAAGTGATCAGTTTGTTAACTCTCCATGTGATCTGGAAATAATATCAAACAGGCAAGTTTTGCGAATTCAGCAAATTATCAACTGAGGAAGAATGTTAAGATACAATACTAAATTCTCACAACAAACTAACAAAAAAAATCGATCATTTAGGAGGATATGTGCAGAACGGTGAAAAAGGTTTTTAGACTGTTAGTTACATTCTTGAACAAATGATTTTTAATATTTCCTAATTCTTTGCTTACTTTCCTTTTCTTGGTGTAAATATTTTTTTCAATGAAAAAGATTAAACTGAAAGTTGAGTGAAAAATAACAGTTAATCAAGATTTCACTGGTCAGTGGGTATATTAAAGAGAAATTAAAGGAAATTCCAGTTGTTGTGAAAAACTCATTTTTTATTCAATTGATTTAAGAGTTTGTTTTTGCATTATTTGGCATTATTTCAGCCACCTAATGTTTGGTGTGAAACAAAAATCTGGCATCCAAACATTAGTGAGAATGGGGAAGTCTGTTTGAGGTATGTATATGTATATATTTAGGAATACTCTGATTTCCATTCCTAATGATAGAGATTTTCTATCTATCAGACTTTATAATAAAGTTTGGATATAACGTGCGCTGTCATTGGCTGAAAGAGTGTGCTCGATGAGAGTATAGAGCATAGAGCTGAGCTAAAGCTGTCATGCTATCTGCCAAATTGTTCTATGTTCTGAGGACTTAGGAAGCAGATAGAGCACTCAAGAAGTGGGGAGAAACACTTGACTACGTCTCGTGTTTCTCCCTACACTTCTTGAGTGCTCTAGCTGCTTCCTGTGTGCTTTATAACAGAACAGAGCACAGTCAAGGCTTCTCTATTTGTTAAATAAAGGACATTTCAAGGGCTTTGTTCGCTTGACTGTGATTAATTTTTAATTAGTTGCACATTCGTGTGATTATTGTTGTGGCTATGTAATCCTGTAATACCTAAGAGACCAGTGTCTAATTTCTCTATACAGTATCCCCCCCCCTGAATGAATCAATAAGTTTGTGAGATTAATGGAAATGATTATCAACTGAAGAAGCTTTTGATTGTGAAACAAATTATTTTTGTCAGTATTGTAGGAAATGTATAGAGGACAGAATGGAAATATAGTACTGATGTTAGGGTGAAAAGAGTTAACAAAATGGTTAATATAACAAAAATTGTTTTATATTTATGCGCAGCTTGTTGAGGGAACACACTCTTGATGGGTCTGGATGGGCACCAACAAGAAAATTAAAGGTCAGTCTGAGGTGGCACTGCCAGTGTTGAAATGGTTTTGTGTATGTTGCAATATTATCAAAAAAATTTTTTTTTCTACATGCAGCTAGTTTAACTCTTTTTAAAAACTCTGAGATGGGTGAGCATCTAATACTTCCAACAGTATCACCCTAATTCAAACATTCTAGCATAGCATGATGTCTTTTTTCTTCCACCACTGACTGAATTCATATCTTTCCTCAGGATATAGTGTGGGGCCTGAATTCTTTGTTTACAGTAAGTTATGATTATATCATCTCACCAAACAGATTGAAAATATTAATAATGGTAATAGCAGAGCTTGCAGAGCATAGCCCCATAATTACACAAAATAGTAGTAACCCATCAAGCCAAAAAAATTTGGATGTATGACTGTACAACTGTACAAGGTGCTACTTTTATCATGCGTGGTCAACTGTACCATGGGCACACCTATGCCACGGCTTTGTTCAGTAGTCCAGTGGTCAGTGCACTGGACTCCAAGTCGAATGACCCAGGTTCTAGTCCTGGCCAGGGCAAGGCATTGTGCCCTTGAGATGTGTGGGGGGAAAAAAATGTGAGCTCCACTTTTAGGCTTGGCTAAATCAATAGACCGGTATTAGGACTTCATATCATCCAATTTAGTCTGTCATCATGCAAGAGATGAACAAAAGCAGGAGTCTGATTTGTTAATCACTAGTATGATTACAGAAAGGATTGGGTGACAAGAAAGTCCTTTTACCAATTACTGAGATAATCAATACTGTGACAAAATTTTTAGAAACAAACCAGGCACTGTCATAAAAAACAACTAACAGTTAGCATGACAACAGCTTGAACACATGAGACACATACACTGTCTTATTGCACTGTCCAATTACAAGCATAAAGTGTGCATTGTCTTATTAGTGCTCAAATTTGGCTGGTAATAACCAATCATATTCGAGAATTTTGTTGAAGTTTGATTATATTTTAAAAAATATATAATAAATTTATATATTTGTGTCTATGAGCATTTCATACATTCAATAATATGACTAACTCCCGATACAATGCTACATTACATAGGTGGCATATTGGGTGTGTTCTGTTGCCCCAGTATGGTTGAATGGTGGAATAATAATGATGTACTGGTATATATCATTGCTTTTAGGACTTGCTGAATTTTGATGACCCACTTAATGTAGAGGCTTCAGAATTATATTTTAAGAACAAGGTAAGTTTTCAGAACCAATCTAGTGAAACCTTCATTTAGCAAACCTCATTTTGAGCAGATGTGTGGGAGATGGGATGGCCTAATTTTTAGTGTACTGTACTCAGGGCCCAGAGGTATGGGTTTAAGATCTGGCCAAGTCAATGTATTAAGCTCTTGAGCATAACATTTAACTCTCACCATGCCCCTCTCCACCCAGGGGTGAACTGGGTACTAGCAAATTGTCAGAGAAGCCTGATGAAATGCTTAGGGATAACTTTGCAATGGGTGGGCCACTTATCTTAATACAGACTTCACCTTTACTACATGGTGAACTTGCTGTTAATTTTCATAATAACCTTCAAACAGGAATCATTTCGAAGACGAGTTGAAGACTATATCAGACTGTATGCATCCCCCAGAAGATAACATACAACACAGCCAGCAGCATGGAATCACCAGCTCCTGGCCGGTGTCCTTGGTCTCTCAAATAAATTATTTATCAGTAGCAATAATTGTAATAGATCATAGATTGATTTTGTAAGTACTGTATGAGTATGATTAAGCCAAAGTTTATTCTGCATGAAGTTTAGCTCCCAGAAGAGTGAATCTACAATTTACTTCACGTATCTAGTGAGCTGTGTAATGTTTAGTTAATTGTAATCTATGGATCACCAGTTGATAGGTGTCCTTTTTCTTTCACTCTCTCATCTTTATTTATTCCTTCTTTTCTTAAATCTGTGACTTTTCTCAGATGTTTGTCTGTCTGTCTGTCAGTATTTTTGTCTATCTGTCTATCAGTCTGTTGAGGTCTGTCTGGCCATTCAATTCTCTTTTTATCTGTCCATTCATCTGACTATCTGCCCTTCCATCTGTCTATCTATCTATCTGTCTTTTCTGCCTTTCTGGCCATTGGTCTGTTTGACTGTCTGTCTTTGGGTGCGTCTGTCTAATTTGTCTTTCTGTCCACTTATCAATTTTGGGCTCTTTGAAATCAAAATACAAGATCAAGGCCATTTTTTATATGCTTTTCTCAAAAGCTTTCATGTCAAAAAAAATATATCAAAAAAATATCAAAATAGGGAAACGTAAGTTAAGACATAAAATGATCAAGCAGGAAATTGTCTTGATCTAAGATTTCCGATCATTTTCCAAAGATTACCGAAAAGTAACGGGAAGTTACGGGAGTATTTTCCTTATCTAAACCTTTCAAATAGGAACAGTACAGTGATCAAAGAATTTGCTTGAGTAAAGCCTTATATAGCGGTTTCTCGGGTGCACTATGAAAGGAGAGGCCTCTTTGCGCTCGTTTTCGCTGCTTTGCCGCTCAACACTACCATAGAAGGCCAGTCACACAGGCTATTGAACTAAAGCAATGATTTGGGAAAGTGTAAATCTTTGTATGAGGTGCAAAACTACAAAAGAAGGTAATTCCTTTTTTTAAGTACAAAATTTTTTGTAATATTTAATATCACTATGGCAAATATAAAGCTAAGTTACTCACCCAAAGTGTGCAACACTTCTGTTTTTACTTCTTGATTCAAGTAGTGTTTAAAAGAGTCACTAACACTTCCAGAATTTTTATTCGTTATTGACTCTCGCAGAACCAAATTATGTTTCCTTGCGGGAAGTTTATGTCAACTTGGGGAGCCGGGTTTTTTTCAGGAACCTTTCCCCGCGCAGGCTGGTCGCATTTCCCGGTTGGTTCCAATCACCGCACCCACTGGTTCTCCGTGTACCCACTCTCCCTCCAACCGAACATGGAACATCGTGACGAACAAACCAACCTGCCTGCATGACTGACGGGATTTCTTGTACGCGAAATACAACCAACTACGCTTGCCGAAGATGTCCTGAGGATTTTTTTTTACGCCATAATTGTTTTATAAATAGGCCCATTTCATATCTCGAAGTAAAGATAATTAAAATTGTGAACTAGAAGATCATATGATGTTATTAGACAAACTTCTAATACTTTGCGTCAAGTGTAAATTATTAGGCTCCAAACCTCTGAATATGGGCACACGCTCATCTGCCCGGAGCCCATCCCCCTTAAAGAGACCTGGAGTATTGCCACTTCCCTCGGGTATCGTAGGTCATCCCCTCCCTCAACACTACTCCAGGTTCCCCTAGTGGTCCGCAAGTACCTAGTAATACTCCTGCTGGTTTGAAAGAAAGCACCTGTAAGAGTGAATGTTTTAAAGCTGACACCACACAGTGATCTGAATAAGTTTGGAACCCCGGAGCTTCGACTCAGTGGCCTGCAGAACAGACGCAAGTTTTTGGTTTATTTCAGGCGAACAAAGGCAAGTGCGGTTCGAGTGCGAAGCGGTGTCATGCGCAAGGGAAGGAGTGCCAATTTTTTTTTTCCTTCACGCGCTTAAACACTCGCTTCGTGTTTGCCTCTTGTTCACCTGAAAAACGCACAAAAATCATGCCTGATCTGCAGGCTACACTTCAGCTACCAGTGCGCTAAACGTAGGGCAACTGGGTCTCCTTCTATAACATGATTTTCGCTATTTTGGTAGATTCATAATTTAATCATTGTCGAAGTGCTACGATTTGTGCGGCAAAAAATCGCACCCGGTCAATTTGGACAATTTTACCCAGCAGTAGTTGAATTAAAAACAGTTTTTTAACTCATGAACAGAAACCTCTATTATAAAATCTAGCTTTTAAATAATTCGTATATTTGATTGTTCTAGGACATCTAGTAGTTGCCTTACCATTCTCTGAAACCCAAATACTATTGAACAGCGGTCAACCCAAAAAGAGCATAACCCTTGTTATGTAAATAAGTTTTGCGCGGTTCATTTCAACTCTGGTGCTATTGTTTGTAACGGACAAAAATACGACAAAAATATGTAAATCCAGTGACCTAGTCACTGAAGACACTGGAATTTATAGCAACATGATATTTGACGGCTGTTAAAGTGAATCTTGAGCCTTCGAAAGCCAACGTTTAGTTTGTTTTCTCAGAGAAAGGGCGTATGAATTCTCATACATACGGTGTTTCGTTTGCAAGGTAAGCGTTTTCACAAAGTTGTTTGTCCGTTTAAAACTTATTAAATGACTAATTTCGACATTTAACGAACGACCTGTGTAAATTGAGAGTACTGAGGGCGAAACCTTTCCTCGTTTGCTAAGATAGAATGTTTCCAGCTATGTTAGGAACTGATGTGCGTATTTATAACAGTGATCTGAGTTGATATCGATGGCATGATTATAAACTTGCGTCGTAAAACGTGTAAATAGTTAGTTAGACAATTCATCGAGGTGCTAATGCTATCGTTACCTCGCCAAAACTTAGTAACACTGTAACTGAGTCAAATTAATCACAGCTATAACAGATATTTCACAGAGAAGTGAGCTAATATCCATGAGAGGTCGAAAGTGATTACCTAAAAATATTATCGCTACAATTAGCTCAATCCGTCGTTTACTGTTCTATGAGAACAGAATACTGTGACTTAAGGAATCTATGTGACACCGAAAATTCAAAATTTTTGTCTAATCCTCTTGATGTTGTTTATAATTACTTCTGAGAGGGGAAGAAAAACAAATTAATCTTTATTTTAGCGATAGGAGGGCCCGAAAGTGAAGGATTTTCTCCGAAAATTTAAAAGAATAAACGCTGTTTAAAAACTTGATTAGAGTAATAGTTTTGAATGTAGATCAAATGGAGTACATTTCAGCTCATAAAAATCCAATTATTTTAATAATTGTAGCTCAAAGATTCCCAAATTGTTGATGATCCCCAGATGTAGATCTGTATACTGATATTGATCGAATTTTCTGGTCATTAATTGCATTAATGCCCTATCAACAGCTGGAAAATTACGATAGGAAACTTAAATCAATAGAGGAATGTTTTTGATGCAATGTTAATTCATTAAACAGTAAATGGGAAGATCATGTTGAATATCCAATTTTACAGACGTTGAATTCTTTGCAAGGGAACAGATGTAGTGGTGTTGTTATTTCAAATATTTTACCTGTGGGATAGAATAGGAAAATAACGGACTGTTACATGCTGTTAATTTCTTTTTGAGAAACTATTTCTGGCTAACCCCACTTTACTCAACTAATCAAGACACAAAAAAATCACTGAGCTGGAACAGAAAATGCATCATTAATTTGGCATAAATTGCACTAATGGGTTTTCATTTTGATCAAATTCACAATTATCTGGTCTTGTTATGAATTGTAAATCTAATAAGAGTGAGCTGTTTCCAATGCAAAATCTTTTCTTTAACATATCCATGGTATCTTATGCTAAACAAACATTCACTTCTTTGTTAAGTTTTCTGTACTGTTAGCATCTAGAATTTAATGAATCACTTTTGTTTGTTTTATTTTCAAAATCTTGTTTTGAATTTTGGCCTTCATTAATGTGTAGAGATTAAATGGTTTTGAATAGCAGAGTCCTATGGATATCAATGTGATCCTTTTTTTGTGATCTTAAAGTAAACATGAAAGTTTTTTTCTATTGTGTGCATTCATATTTTGAATAATGCTCTATTTAAATGGAAATTAACTATGACCTCAGTGAGCAAGTCTGCATAAATTATTGTTATTTTATTCATGTGAAGGTCAATGTAATGATCCTATATGGATTAGAAGAGTTTGAAAATGAATTTTGATTTATAATTATTTTTTATATGATCTTGTTAAATTGGTTAATGGGTCATCTTAAAGCTGAAAGTATGCTTGGCACCCTTTTTTTACAAAACCTGATGCTGCTTGTTATAATCTGTGACAGTCGATAATTTGGGATAAATTATTAAGTAGTTGACCAAAACTGTTGGTTAATTTCAAATGTGTGGTGCTTTCAGTTTTATTTAGGTTTAAGTATGGTAATGGCAATAAATCAAAAGTGTATAGAATTGAACCAATGATAGAATTTAGCCACAAAGACTGTGTATTCCACAATAAGTGGCTGTGTAGAAAAGGAATAAAAGTTATTTTTTAAAAATCTTTTTGAACAGACATTGTTCCATCACAGCTACAGCAAATAGAGTTTTCTGTTCCATTTTGATTTACTTTACTAAAACAGGGTTATTTTTTTTGTTTAGAAAAGAAGAATTTAGGAATTAATTGTTATAGGTAATATCTCTGATCTGTGAGTAAACACTGGATTATAGAATATATGAAAACAGTTGCATATCATGACAGATTTGGGAAGATGTTTCACCTCTCTGGCAAATAACTGAATTCATTATTAACTTATAAGCTGTTTATCAGAAGCTAAATTTTGATAGTCATTTTTCAATTTAGTGTACATTGTCTTTAAATACATTGCTATTCTTGCTGAAAGTCTGAGTAAATTTAAGATGAATCTGAAGTGGTGGGGGAATAAAGCCATAAATGACTCATCACACATTAACAAATTCTCCTTGTCTGTGTCTGAATCATCCATCAGGAACTAAACGGACTCACCACTGCTCATGCTGTGTCCAGGAAGACAGCACCCTTAAGTAAGTAAAACGGTATATGGATGGCAACAAGCACAGGTCCCTGGGATGAAACTGATGACAGTGCAAGCTATGATGCAGCGCCAACGATGCGTCCTCCAAAAAGAAGCACTCTCAGAGTGAGCCACTTGCGTCGGCCTTATGCACGACCCCCTTCACCTCCTCGCCATGCCTCTTCTTCAAGATCAAGGATTGGGGGTGGAGTGGTAGCTGAGAAAGTGGAGGACCTTGCTGCTTCACTTCAGGCCACAACAGAAGTGTTGTCCACAGCAGATCGCATGTTAGAGCACTACAGGGATATAAACGTTGAACAAGATGAAGAAATTGCAAAGGTAACCCCCCACACCCAGTAATCTGACTGGCTAATCTCATGCAGGACTTTTTTACTGATCGATGTTTGAATCAATAACTTTGATGTGCAAGGTTTTTATTTTAATTTGTATTTTGTACCTGTAGCTAAGAGCTGAGCTTGAAAAGTCTGCTGATATTCTAAGACGAGAAAGAATCTCAAGAAGACGGAGACTCCCTCCTACTCCTTCATCTTCGCAGGTAATACTTTTTTTTTTTGTTGAAACAACTTTTTTGGG